AGGAATAAAATTTCGCACCTTGCGCATGGGTTTGAAATAAGCAAACAAGAATGAGTAAACGTTCGCACATTGCGCATGGGTTTTCATTAAACAAATAAATAACCGTCTCCCAGTTAGCTCAATGAATAGAGCGCTGGACTGTTCTGCGGGAGGTCGAGGGTTCGAGCCCCGGCCGGACCAACACTCAAGGTCTTAAAATAATTGAGAAGAATATGCTTCCTTTCTATAACATCAAGAGATGGTTAGATAATCTAGTCTTCTCGGATAGGGAAATAAATGGAGGTCCCGTCTCCTGCAAGAGGGGTAGGAGAAGTTAATCGACGCCTGCGAAAAACGACGGAACTGCCTTTTGGGAAGATACACGACTGTCTGCGATATAATTTTGGTTTTATAAACTGCGTTGATTATGTAAATTGGCCACCGTAAAGAGTTTGGAAGCTCACGTTTCGAGTGTTACCCTTCGTCAAAGGGAAGAGCTAACACTCGAAATGTCAGCTTGGAAGCTCTTAGCCGGTTGGCCAATTAACTTAGAAACTTACCCCCTGTATACGATATATGGACCTTTCCACAGGAAGCCCATGTAGCAAGAGAAATAAACCCAGTCATAACCAAACAGAAAGAAACCATTCACCTAGTTTCGGAGTTTGACGATGCGAAATAAGTATAGGTAATCGCATGGGGCCGAGTAAAATTAAGGATTAATATCACGCGTGTTTTCTGAAGTTGCTGAAATTGCCCGAGTCGTGCAGCGACGAGAGCAATTTCTGACACTTCCGTAAACACAAGTGATATTAATCCTTAAATTTACGAGGAACCATGTGATTACTTGTTTATAATATAAGGGGCAAAATGTTTTCTTACTGATCTCGCGCAAAACGAGACGCCATTGTTACAAAACAAACAGAAATTCCTTCACCTTGGCAGCCGTTGCTAAGCGATTTTCAGCCAATCATTTTCAAGTAATTTTGCCCGGTTAAGAAAAAATACCCTCTGTCTTGACCAATCACAATTCAGTAATTTTGCCCCTTATGTGATAAGTGGAAAGAACGCACTCTCCTTGAAGGGTTACGCCTTTAAAGCCTAACATCAGGATGCATATTCTCCATACTGTTCTCTATACATTTCCTAAGGTGCTGACAAGGAGAATTTGTTTGACAATCAAAAGCTTCTTTGGTTTGTGATCATTTCCTTTATTCTCCTGATCTTAATGTGTGATTCATGGGTGATATTGTAAGGAGAAATTAGATGCTGGTCACTCTTAGGGTTAGAAGATTCTGACAAACAAATAAATTGACAAAGAAAAATTCTATTCAATTATGATCTGACACAAGTGAGTTGCCTATCCTTAAATTTCAGAGACTGGAAAAGAGCTATTAGGTCAGCAATGATTGGTCAGTGGTTTCCAATTGCAACTACTGAGAACAAATATACATGCTGTAGTCGGGCAACATGAACTCTTTCCAAGCAATGAGAAGCTATAAACAGAAAGGTTTTAAAATGCACTGGGAAATTTTCAGTAGATAAAAATCAAGCATTTAAACCACATATACTCCATTTCCTTGCAAAACTGGTTTTTTGGAAACAGCTGGTTTCTCCTTGAGCATTTTTACAATGGCCTCTAGGTTCATGGCCATCCTTAAATCGCCATCAACTTTCAATGAGCCTTGCATGTAAGCATCGAAAGCTGTTGTCTGTCCATAAAATATCTGCTGCATATCCTGAACCCCCATGGTGAGTACCACATTGGGGTTATCGCCTGGATTCTCAGTATATATTTTTCCATATCCACTTCTCAGATCTAGGTACCATGTTCCTCCACTTTCACCAAGAATGTTGAACTGAAACATGCCACCAATTTCCTGTACAAGTTTCTCACTTAGACCACCACTCACCAACTTGACAAGCTGCTCTGGAGTAAGAAGATTGGACCCAGGCTCTTTGTTAGAAGACTGTGAGGGGCCATCTGATGAGGCTATGGAGGTAGGCAGTGTGAATCCCCTGCTGGTACTGCTTCCTCCAAAGGCTGCAAATGAGAAGGAAAAATGTCCTTCTAGACATTTCTGCAACATACAAAGACTGCTTCCCTTAAAGTAATGATAAATTTAGTTTTAATTCATTTGAGTTACAGTAGAAGCTCATTTTCACCAGTTTAGCTGAACACACCTGAAAACATACTGGCCATTCCAGGGTCACCAAAGGTCATGTTACCAAGGTTCATACTCTGGGATCCTCCACCAAATAGTGCTGACAGTGCACCAACAACCTCATCTGCTTCCTTTAAAACACTGACCTCCGACCTTAAAGGGCAGATCAATAAATCAAATACAGATCAGGAACATCCAACAGCTTAACAAATTGATGATCAATTTTTATTCATAATTTGTTAATATCACTCTGAATCATTTAATTGTATTAATCATCATGCAATCAGAATTGGTTTGTAGTTCACTGAAAAGAAGTGGAATTTGCTAATTTTAACCTTGCAGGAAAGTCTTTGTTAAAACAATTTATGCATAGTGAAGGTCTGATTTACATAACAAATGACTTCAGAAGGTTTTTAAAAGATTAACTAACTAAAGACAATGTAAGTAATGATAAAAAGTTAACAAACTGCTGATCTAAAAAAAAAAAAACAGTTAGAAATAGGAATTTAAGACATTTAAAATTTACTTACATCTCAAATCTTGTTATATTTACACCCCAAGCTGCTGCAGATCCATTGACCACTTCCTGTTCAGTTCAACCATAAATATCAGAATAGGAATGATCATAACCATCATTATCCAAGGAACACACAGAGCAAGGGATGGACTCAGGAATGTTTGATGGGAAGTCCTAATTTCTTCTCCACAAACCCACACCCACCAANCACCTGAAAACATACTGGCCATTCCAGGGTCACCAAAGGTCATGTTACCAAGGTTCATACTCTGGGATCCTCCACCAAATAGCGCTGACAGTGCACCAACAACCTCATCTGCTTCCTTTAAGACACTGACCTCCGACCTTAAAGGGCAGATCAATAAATCAAATACAGATCAGGAACATCCAACACCTTAACAAATTGATGATCAATTTTTATTCATAATTTGTTAATATCACTCTGAATCATTTAATTGTATTAATCATCATGCGATCAGAATTGGTTTGCAGTTCACTGAAAAGAAGTGGAATTTGCTAATTTTAACCTTGCAGGAAAGTCTTTGTTAAAACAATTTATGCATAGTGAAGGTCTGATTTACATAACAAATGACTTCAGAAGGTTTTTAAAAGATTAACTAACTAAAGACAATGTAAGTAATGATAAAAAGTTAACAAACTGCTGATCTAAAAAAAAAAAAACAGTTAGAAATAGGAATTTAAGACATTTAAAATTTACTTACATCTCAAATCTTGTTATATTTACACCCCAAGCTGCTGCAGATCCATTGACCACTTCCTGTTCAGTTCAACCATAAATATCAGAATAGGAATGATCATAACCATCATTATCCAAGGAACACACAGAGCAAGGGATGGACGCAGGAATGTTTGATGGGAAGTCCTAATTTCTTCTCCACAAACCCACACCCACCCCCCCTAGGCCAAGCCAGGAAGTTGAGTAATATACTTGATCCCATCATTGTTAAAAAATTTTGGTGCAGAAAAAGTTGGTAAAATTCCCACAGCCCTCAGCAGAGAGGGGAGGGAGGGATGGAAATTCTGGGCAGGGAGGGGAGGGAGGCATGGCAGGTCTGAGCAGGGAGGGGAGGGAAGGTTGAAACCCCCCTTGACTCACACTCTGGACTTGGTGCAACCAAAAAAATTGGGAGGGGGGAATATTTAAACTGCACCTGGCAAAAAAATTGCACTAGCTTCTCCCCTCCCCCCTCTCTAACAAATGACTGGTACTTATCTTTCACAGGTATACCAACAGGTTTAACTGCAGACCAGGCATCCTAAAACACCTGGTCCAGTGTAACCATGACAAAATAGTTGACACAGTATGAATAATAAAATGTTTCATTGAAGTGTTACCTGAACTTGTTTGTTGATGAACTTTCTGTCATGCTGAACTTCAATGAGCTTCCTTGAACCCAAACAATTAACAAGTGCTGTTTGAGCCAGCATGCGCAAGGAGTGGTTTAAGTCCTGAACGGATGTTCTGGATAAAACTGCATCCTTGATGCTGAACTGTACCTCAGCTCCAACCGATGCATAGCCACCATCACTGGTGTGAATCTTAAAAATAAACACATTTGGGTTGTCAAAATATTTAAGCTGCCAAATATGCTACTGAATCAATTTTCAGCATGAAAGCGTGACACTCAGTCCATAGGTGGCCTAAGCTCTCTTTAAGAACCGCAAAAGGAACACAATTTGCATATCGATTTATAAGGCTTTGTATGGGATTTTCTACAAGATATCCATGGAGATAGTTAAAAGTGAAAATATTAAATAAAAATGGTTTACCTTATTCCATACATGAGTTGTTCGCTCCTGGTGTCATTATTTTACCGATTAAACTTGATTTAAGCGTTTTTAATCCTGGTTTTCTCTTCCTAAAGAGAATCCTGGTCTTCTCTTTAAGAAGAGAAAACCAGGATTAAAAAATGCTGCTTAAATCAAGTTAAATCGGTAAAATAACAACACCAGGAGCAAACAACACATGTATGGAATAAGGTAAGCCATTTTTATTTAACATTTTCACTTTTAACTATCTCCATGGATATCTTGTAGAAAATCCCATACAAATCCTTATAAATTGATCTGCAAATTGTGTTCCTTGTGTGGTTCTTAAAGAGAGCTTGGGCTGCCTGTGCACTGTGCTGCCTAATTTGCAACACAAATCTTTTTGAAAACTCTGAATATTAATGTATAAAATTAATTTATTTTGCCAAACCACACTTGGTTGGCACATGTTGTTGAGCACCAAGCCCCTCCTAGTGTTTTGGTCTAGCCTTGCTATTGTTTGTACAAGCCCCCATTTAAACCAGCTTTAAAGTTGAGCTGGACCAGCCTGTCTATGATTTCCCAGTAGATAAATGAATAATGATAAATAACTGNAAAACAGGAGTAAAGGAACATATATGTTGTACTTTTAGTACATACTGTCCCAAACCACCTTCAGCTATTGTTAGTACAAATGAATAAAGGCTGATAGTTTCGAAAGAAACTGTTTGGGGCTGCGTCGGTGGGAGTAACAAAATAATTTGGATATATCAACAAAGTTGAAATGGTAAATTGGCCACCGTAACGATTACAAAAGCTGACGTTTCAGGTGTTAGCCCTCCGACAAAGGGCTAACACTCGAAACGTCAGCTTTTGTAATCGTTACAGTGGCCAATTTACCATTTCAGCTTTGTTGATATATCCTACCTAGTAAGATATGTTGCAATCTTCAACCAGTCAAAGCACAAGAATCTCTCTTACCACCTGAGCAATCATTTTAGATGCATACATGTATTAGACTTAAATATTTACACTCAACATGAAAGTCATAGTAATATAAAAAACTGACCTGGTCCTTTTTGGGGTAACAGTTTCCCAAGTCTGAAGACAACAGCCCTTTCATAGTCCCTAATTACCTACAAGAACCATCTTTTATTTTAATTTCAAGTAAGGAAAATTCGCTTTTAATAACAGTTAATGCCTTGTTCAGAGGTATTTGAAATACAGCTGTAATGTCATTAAAGACAAAAATGTTGAATAATCTTTTGGGTTATACACGAAGTTCTGAGCATGCTCAACTACCTATTTTGCTTGGCATTGTACCACAAATATGAGAATTTGTTATTCACCACATATAAAGCTGCTACTGGCTCTAAAAACTGGCGGCTTCCCTTCGCTGAAGGATAAGCGCATTTAAATCTATTCTAGCAATCGAAAGGTTGCAGTGTTGGGTTGCCATATTACGACATGACCTTTGAAAGGCAGTCTCCTCACAATTTTTTCCCTTTCCTCTCCCATAAGCATTGAATTCTTCCTACAATGATTCACTATTTGTTTTCCAGTGAAAAATTAGATTTGCTATTCTTCGTACACGATCTACATCAAACATGCACAATTATACGACAAACTGTTCGCTTCAATTCAGATCAGAAGCAACTGGGAAAGAAGTCTAAATATGGTGAGCTGAACCACTGAACTAAAGTATATGCAGGAACTACCGATTCATTAGATAGCAGGTTCATAGAGAAAAAATGTTTGAATTAGAGCTACGCTTACCTTCAAACAGAAAAATACAGAAATCGGAAAAGTCAAAAGAAGTAGAAGAGCAGAAGATAACGAGATGAAACATTCCAAGATACTCCACTCTGTCTGTCGGGATCCATCGCCTGGAAAATAAAGCGGAATTTGTTAAAGAAAAAAATCTGTGAATCAGGGAGACAGACGAAGTTCGAGGCTGACAGCAACTGTAGAGATAATGATTTCACCTGTTCTTTCTCCTCCGTCGTAGTAAATCGCTACTTGATGCTCTGGCAAGCGACTGTAAGTGAATGCTTTCGCCATGAAAGCTTAAGCAGGTTGTTAGTCGTTACTTTTCCACGGTAAACAAAACAATGACAGGATTTCTTTCTTCCCTCGGTTCCTGCGGGTTGTTCTGTTTTCTGTTTATTTTTCGCCCTACTCATTCTTAGGCCTTCGCGGTTTTCAAAATGGCTGCCGGTTGGTTGCGGGCTGGAATATTAATGTCGGGAGAGTGTGAGCGAAATTACCACTACTGTCCAAAACCAGTGACCACAATCACAAATCTGTCACTAGTGGACAAATTTACAAAGCGGTCACTAATGTCCAAAAATCAAAAATTGGCCGCTAGCGTCCGAAATTAAAAAATCAGCTAATAGCGGCCAAATCAACAGAAGACAGTCAAAGACTGCATGTGCTTGCTGATCGATATTGCATAATTTTTATAGCGTTGGAAAGAACAAGAGTGGTATAATGACGCTGGAAGATACTAGTGTTGCAGAATTTTCTCACATGCGAAACAAAAATACCGCCGCATCCCACACAGTTATGAATAACCTGTCCTACATAATTTTATTATTTTAGAGATAAAATCATCTCTCTTCAGATATAATAAGCTTCCTCTAATTTTCATGATGCGCCGATCACTGACACCCTATTAAGATATTTCTACAATGAAAACTTTTGTTTTAAATAGCGCACAATCCTGAAATGATTGTGAGATGTTTATTGTCTTCTGCTCTCTTCCGTCGTACTACGACAAGAACTGAAAACATAACTGCGTTGGTGGCTATAAACCAATGAGAAATCACAAAAGGAGAGACCTCAACTTAGGCGCGTAGCGTCCTAAACGCATATACGCACGTACGTATCTGAAGTGACCAGAAAAATTTGAAAACAATGTTGTGTTTGCGCCGAGTTTGCTCAAAATAAGGGCAAGACGTTTTGTTCTTTGCTTGTATTCACACAACTATTTCGAACAAGAAATAAAGAACGCAGTATTTTTCGCTCAGTTTACTTAGGTTTCTAGATCACATGTACTTGTGCGTACTTGGAAAAATTACCACGCTACGCGCCTGCAACTGTGTATCGAGTGTGAATGTCGCACTACTTAGAAACTCCGAAACAAACATTAAGTAGCGCCGGGAAACCTTTGGTCATAACTGGGTCAAGAATTCTGTTGCTACACTCACTCTCTCACACACTCGCTCATCTCAACAACCTACGTGGCCTCGCCTCCTATAGGAGGCAGTAGCAACAAAAAAGCTTAGTTTCTTAGAAGAGGCAGAGATATCATTTAATTATGTACAACGAGAACAGT